TTTCGTTTACGCTCTAGCACCTATTTTTTAAGAGGACATAATATGCCTTGTTTGCCCAAACCATTGACCACTTCTTATGGTATCAATTCCTTTTTTTTTAGTTACTTGGCAGCAACATCTTGGAATTCTCTTCCTGACCATTACCGCACTATTTCTGATTTTACTTCTTTTCGACGACTGATATCTACTGGAAACAATAATTTACTTTAAAGGGCAGGAACTGCAAACCTCTCTACATCATGATAATTGTAAGTTAATTGTCTAGGTAGTTAGTTAGCTTATTTGTTATATAGAATTAACTTTTTATTATAACTATTTATTAATGTAGTTGGCTCGAAGATATTAGCACTTGAGTGCTACACTGTAAATTCGAGGGTAAATAAAGTTTATTGATTGATTGATTGAATACGTCTTAATCTCAAAGTGTAACGGTCTCACGTTTGGATGGACAATCCGCTTGAATTTATCCATCTGTTTTCCCGTCAATTTTGACGGATTTTGAAGACAGATTATCCGTAAAAACGGCCAATAACTCAACAAAAACACAGAATAGGCGAATTTATACCAGAGACAAATTATCCGTCTGAGACGAATTAATCCGTTTGAGACTGATAAATTGTCGAAATAAAACCGTTGTTCGGACGATTTTTGGCCCTAAATTCGTCTTCACTTGATTTATGTGTCAGCCCGTCTAAAAGTCGTGCTGACAAACGAGACGTCGAATTTTGGGCCAATTCGTTTAAATACCGGATTTATATCCAGACAATTTATCCGTCTTAGACAGACGGATAATTCGTCTGTAGTATAAATTTGGCCATTGATCGTCTCCTGAACAAGTGAGCGAATGAACTGAACTCGAGAAGTCTTTACTTTGATACTTTATTTGATACCTATATTTTTAAACGTAATCAAAAATTCACTAAAGAACTCGTCGCCTGATAATTAAACTACAGTGACCCGTTCGTCCCATATAATGGCATATAGTCCTTTATTTTTAAATTATGTTTATGTTATTTCTTAAAATTGATTTTAAGTATTATTTTGTAATGCTTTGAGTTTCTATGGTTTGACAAAAAAATATATTTTCAAAACAACGGTATAAAATCTTCAGTGTTTAAGAGTTCTAATAAATTAACTAGTGCAGTCTTTAAAACATTGACTGCTTTTCAAAAGCGCCATACAGCACCAACTGTCGTAGACAAGGTGGGACTATTAGTACCTGAAATGTTATTTGACGGTCAAATACAACCCAGGGAGACGACGATATGGAGCTGATGTAGGTAAGGGAAAAGAAATAAAGTAGTGTAATGTAGCGTTAAACAGGGTGGTTGAAAGCTCGTTTTTTAAAAGATATTTATATGTTATTTATGTATTATTTCCGACGGAGACGACATCATATTGTCAGTGTTAACAAAAGGAATGTTTTCCAAAACTTTAATTACTTTGGCGTGACATTGTAGGCGAAAAAAAAAAGAAAAGAAAAAAGAAACGCGCATGTTAATAATATTGTTATCAATATTACATTATTATTATCATTATCATAATTATTATCATTAGTTATCGTCATCATTATTTTTATCATTATTACTATTGTTGTTATTAGTATGTGTAATCAAATGGGGACGAGTGAAATTAGGGAATAATTTTACTTGCATTTTGTCCAAATCCTTATAATTTCCCGAGCCTTCAGGCGAGGGAAAAGGCTCGGGAAATTATTAGGATTTGGACAAAACGCAAGTGAAATTATTCCCTAATTTCAAGAGTATACCATTTGATTACCTATTAATATCATGGGTGACGAGTTACGTTAGCAATCTTGGATTTTTGACATGTTTATCCTGGATCGTATCGATCGAGAACTCCTGCACTCTCTCGAACGTTTAGAGCTTAAATTTAGCTTAAGTTCAGAGTTTTTTGACAAAATACCTGTTAGAATCCTTCTTGATGTGCTCTTTCGTGTGTTCTTGTTTTCTAAAGCGTCTTTTTGTGCCCTGACATCTTCATTCATGACATTTTAAAACTTTGTCGCCATCTTGACACTGAGACGTGCGGAAGGTTGCCATGGCAATTTTGTAATTTCACATGTGAAATTACAAATTAACGCTGAAATTTCGCGCCAAAATTAAGGAGTAATTCGTCACCTATGATAATATATGCTTTATTAGTTGGTCAAAAAAGCTTCAAACGGTAAGAAGAGATTACATCATGAAATTATGACCAACAAGCTAGGGATGCTAGTCATAGACATGTTACATTACGTATTGAGTTTGCCTCGCTATTGTACTGGCCTTCTCACTCGGAAAGTCAAAAACAGGGCGACAACCTATAAATCTGTAGGTAAGGACAGAAGTTAATCTCTACCCATCATCTTATATACTAAGAGTTACGACATAGAATTTCAAATTAACCGGAAGGACAATAAGAAATAATTTAGTGAAGACAAGGATGGCATTTTAAAGGATGCAATAGTCTCTTTGCCGATGGCCTTAACCAAAGTATTAACATTAAGAAGAGAGTGGACTCAGGGTTGTGTTTTAGGTCGGTACTTAAAAGATTACAATTGATGTCAGAGTTCATGAGCAATATGGTACGGGAGGCATAAGGCTTTATAGCTACAATCGTCGGGGATGAGAATGCTGCCAAGCACTAACATGCTAACATGCACTGCTGCCAAGCACTAACATGCTCTCGAGTAATTAACATCTTAGCTTTTCTTTCACCATCATATCGTCGATACCTTTTTTCTTTCTAGATATCCCTTTATAAAGTGAGTACCAAGGTATGACGACAGCTACACTGTTCAATATAGTGCCCTTTTAGTGTTTATTTGCCCGTTAGTGATATATAGTCTGCCAAAAAAAATCAACCAATCTCCTACTTGAAGTACAAAGCCGCATGCGATATAATCTTCA